ATGAGCTGGACTGGCTAGCAGCAGACAGACCATCAGCAGACAGCAGCTGAGAGCTGAGAGGGCTGCTACACAGCCCTGAGCCAGGCCAGGAGAGAAGCACAGCCACGTGAGAATGGAGCCATCCTGAAGTGCCATACAGCTGTGAGCCAAGCCAGGTAGCAGCAGACAAACCCAGAGCAAAGAACAGTTAAGAACTGAAAGGGCTGCTACACCTGGCTGCAAGCCAGAAGAGAAGCACAGCCATGGGAGAATGGAGCCATCCTGAAGCTGCTACAAGGCTGTGAGCCGGGCTGGCAAAGAAGCTGTGAGCCAGGCTGGTTAGCAGCAGACAGAACATCAGCAGACAGCATCTGAGAGCTGAGAGTTGGTTTTCTTGGCCCTGATCCGGGCCAGGAAAGAAGCCATGTGAGAACAGAGCCGTCCTGAAGCTGCTACACGGCTGTGAGCCGGGCTGGTTAGCAGCAGATAGACCCAGAGCAGAGAATAGCTGAGAGCTAAGAGGGCTGCTACACAGCTGTGAGCTGGGCCAGGAGAGAAGCACAGCCATGAGAGAACAGAGCTGTCCTGAAGCTGTTACACAGCTGTGAGCAAGGCTGGCTGAGAATCTATGAGCCAGGCTGGTTAGCAGCAGACAGACCATCAGCAGACAGCAGCTGAGAGCTGAGCAGGCTGCTTCACAGCCATGAGCCAAGCCAGTTAGCAGTGGAAAGGCTGATGGTGAGGAGGCCTGGTAGCAGAAACTGACTGACAGCACTCTCCTGGTTGGAAGCTGCCCTGCAATGAAGAAGAGAGGGATGTGCTTTCCCCTCTGGGGAGGCTTCCAGACCCTGCCTTCATGCTTCCCAGTCCTGATCCTGAGTTGTAATATTACTTCCCTAATAAAGTACATCACTGAGACTCTGGTCTGTGAGTTCTGAGTGGCCACTAAAATGAATGATTAGCCCAGCAGAGAAGCATAGGGTGCTGTGGGGGTCAGGGAGTGGGGGGGACAGCTGGTGTCAGAGATGGTGAAGAAACAGGAGAGCAGATGATGGCTCACCTCTATTTCCTAGGGACCAGCTTTGTGCTGATCCTGGTTCTTCATGCTTGTGAATTTAAATGATTTTTGACATTGCCTTACAGAAGACTCGGACAAAATGAGACAAGGAAGAGCCACACCATGTTTGATGGATTACAGAAGGCTCTGTGGCAAGATGAGTCAAGGGGAAGCCACGTCAGCCATGTCTGAGGGATTACAGAAAGCTCTGTGGCGAGACGAGTCAAGCGAGAGCCACACTGTGTCTGAGGGATTATAGAAGGCTCCATGATGAGACTAGTCAAGGGAGAGCCACACTGTGTCTGAGGGATTATAGAAGGCTCCATGATGAGACTAGTCAAGCGAGAGCCACACTGTGTCTGAGGGATTATAGAAGGCTCAGTGCTGAGTCAAGGGAAAGCCACATCAGCCATGTCTGAGGGATTACAGAAGGCTCCATGATGAGACTAGTCAAGCGAGAGCTACAAAGTGTCTGAGGGATTACAGAAGGCTCCATGATGAGACTAGTCAAGGGAGAGCCACACTGCGTCTGAGGGATTATAGAGGCTCCACACTGATAATCAAGGGAGAGCCACACTGTGAGGGATGACAGAAGGCTCAGTGATGAGTCAAGGGAGAGCCACGCCATGTCTGAGCAACTACAGAAGGCTCCGTGATGAGATCAGTCAAGGAAGAGCCACACTGTGTCTGAGGGATTATAGAACACTTCATGACAAGATGAGTCAAGGAAGAACCACACCATGTCTCGTGGACTACAGAAGCCGCCACAGCAAGATGAGTCAAGGGAGAGCCACGCTGTGTCTGATGGATTACAGAGGCCTCCGTGATGAGTCAAGGGAGAGCCACGCTATGTCTGAGCGATTACAAAAGGTTCCGTGATGAGACCAGTCAAGGGAGAACCACTTTCATAGCATTTCAGAAGGCTCCATGATGAGCCAAGGGAGAGCCACGCCGTGTCTGATGGATTACAGAAAGCTCCGTGATGAGACAAGTCAATGGAGACCCACGCCATGCCTGACAGCAATATGAAGAAGGAGCACAAAGACCCCGCAATGAGAAGACACTTACTACGTGCCAGGCAGCAAGGGGGCAGAGTACTCACCAGTTTGGTGCAGTTAACCTCAACCCCAAATACCAAATGGTTTACAGCCCCAAATGGTTATTTCTGGCTCTCAGCTGTCAACTGGCTGCAGCTCTGCCCAAGAACGTCCCTCATTTGGGTCTGAGCCATCCCTGACTGGATCTTCCCATCCTTAAGGCTAAGGGGACAGGTAACAGGGAAGTGCACCAGGCCACACCAGTGGTTCTCCTGCCCAGTGGTGCGTGTCCCATCTACTCACACCTCTCTGGTGAAAGGTCAAGTGGCCAGGCTGGTATAAAAAGGAGGATCAGAGCCACAGAGAAGGAACACCTCGTAATGAAGCTAGCAGTGTTCCTTCTGTATTTCTCCCATCTTTATGGGCAAGGAGGGACATCTTTCAGTTGTTCCACATGCATGTGGTCTCCAATGAGATTCTGTGAAATGCTATAATGAAATATAAAAGATAGCCCTATGTCCTGATGTCAATGTGTCAATCACATTGAAAACCCAACCTCATTTTCTCCCAGGTGTTTAACAGGGATTTCCCACTTGCAATTTCTTCCCTCTAACAACTTAATGAAATATGCAAAGACCCAGAATTAGTAAACCAAAAGGGAAGAACATGCTTGACATTTCTCAAGCTGAAAGAACTAAAGAAAAATTCAAGCCTCAAGTTGCAATGCTGAAGGATTCTATGGGCAAAATATTGAACAATGCAACAAACACCAAAGAAGATGGAAGGAATACACCAAGTTCCTGTATCAAAAGAATTGGTCGCATTCAACCATTTCAGGAGGATATGTAACCAAGAACCAAGGGTACTGAAGCAGCAGCTGAAGCTGCACTGAAAGAATTAGAGAAAAACAAGCCTCCAGGAATTGACGGAATATCCATTGAGATGTTTCAACAGGTGGATACCACGCTGGAGGCACTCACTTGTCTATGCCAAGGAATTTATTTGGAAGACAGCTACCTGGCCAACTGACTGGAAGAGATCCATATTCGTGCTCATTCCAAAGAAAGGTGATCCAACAAAGTGTGGAAATTATCGAACAGTATCATTAATTATCACATGCAAGTAAAATGTTGCTGAAAATAATTCAAAACCAGTTGCAGCAGAATATTGACAGGGAACGTCCAAAAATGGAAGCTGGATTCAGAAGAGAATATGGAATGAGGGATATCATTACTGATGTCAGATGGATCTTGGCTCAACGCAAAGAATTCTAGAAAGATGTTTATTTGTGTTTTATTGACTATACAAAGGCATTTCACTGCGTGGATCATAACGAATTATGGGTAACACTGAGAAGAATGGGAATTCCAGAACAATTAATTGTGCTCATGAAGAGGGCGGTCATTCAAACAGAACAAGGGGACACTGAATGGCATGAAAACAGGAAGGGAGTGCATCAGGGTTGTATCTTTTCACCATACTTATTCAATCTGTATGCTGAGAAAATAATCTGAGAAGTTGGACTATATGAAGAGGGACACAGCATCAGATTTGGAGGAAGACTCATTAACAACATGCAAAATGCAGATAACACAGCCTTGTTTGCTGAAAGTGAAGATGACTTGAAGCACCTACTGATGAAGATCAAAGACTTGATCTTTGATTAAGTCTTAATTAGGAATTACACCTCAACATAAAACAAAAATCCTCATAACTGTACCAATAAGTAACATCACAATAAATGGAGAAAAGATTGACACTTCAGGGATTTCATTTTACTTGAATCCATAAGCAACATCCATGGAAGGAGCAGTCAAGAAATCAAATGTCATATTGCACTGGGCAAAACTGCTGCCAAAGACCTCTTTAAAGTGCTCAGAATCAAAGATGTCACTTGGAGGACTAAAGTGTGCTTAACTCAAGTCATGGTATTTTCAACAGCCACATATGCATGTGAAAGCTGAACAATGAATGAATCAGGAAGACTAAGGCGTTGATGCCTTTGAATTGTGATGCTGGTGAGGAATACTGAAAAGACCACAGACTTTCAAAATGAGCAAATCTATCTTGGAAGAAGTACAGTCAGAATGCTTCTTGTAAGCAAGAATGGCCAGAGTTCATCTCATGTACTTTAGTCATGTTTTTACAAGCGACCAGTCTCTAGAGAAGGGTATCATGGTTGGTAAAGTAAAGGGTTAGTGAAAAAAGAAGACCCTCAATGAGACGGAGTGACCACAGAGGCTGCAACGATGGCTCAAGCACAGCAGGGACTGTGGGTGGCACAGCACGGGGCAGCGTCTCGTTCTGTTGTACCCGGGGTCACTGCGAGTGGGAGCTGAGCAGGCGGCACCTAACTACAGCAGCAGCAGCAGTCATCAGATCCTGCACAGCACGGCCATGACCAAAAGGGAAAAACAGGGCCAGGGAAAATCCTCCCACCCCAAACGGAGATTTAAATTAACCTGTGGTTGACAACAGCCAGCCTATTTCAAACTTCTCACTGGAGACGTGATGCACGTCGCATTAACAGGGCCATGCCCAATCATCACCCTCAGGAGGAACTGGCTCTTCCCTGCCCTGCAGCCCAACTACAGAGAACAGGAACAGGAAAAGTCTGCTTTCTGGGAACAGGACAAGCAAGAGGGAATGGAAGGTCACAGGACAGCACTGCCTCTCACAGTGGGAAATGCCACGGGCTGCTTTACAGGAAGTGAAAATGAGCGTCTTCCTGTTCTACCACGGAGGGCAGGGTAGAAGCGAGTGGGCATTTACTGGGAGCAAGAGTCTTCCAGCCCTACCACGGACAATGGAATAGAAGCAAGTGGGGAAGGTCTTCGGGTGATTTTAAAACGCGGAAGGTCAACAGAGCGCACGCTTCCTTTTCTAACCAGGTCTGACCGACGCTGGACTCGCTTGCTGTCTGGTACCTGAGGAGTTGCAGCTTTTGCGCCATCAGCGGGTGATGATTGCACACCTGGCTGAAGAAGTGAGTTGGCCAGCGTGGCCAGCCAGCCTGTGCACACCCCCTTCCGTGAGAGCAGCGCTGGGGTGTGAGACGCGAACTCCACAACACTGAAGGCAAAGCGCAGCTTCCCTGGGTGGGACAGACTGGAGCTGCAGAGACAGAGGGACGCTTCAGGTGCCAGGCCTCCCGTCCGCAGGCCAGACCTGCCCCATTTACTGCACTGAAGGGGCAGTTCCCACCGGGCCCCGTCTTTCACCTCCCGGGAGAAGAGCCACCTGTTCACTTAAAAGGTTTCTCCCACCCCCACTGCAGTACTGCTCAGGCAAGTTTCCAGTTATTTGCCTTCAGGACAAGTAAGATTTACAAAAGCGACTTGTCCTTGAGAGACTGTGTGAAAGGACTCACTCAACATGTGTCCTGAAGGGCCAGGGTGAATCCTGATGACTCTCCCACAGGTCATTGCTGCCCTGTCAGTTCCCATCCGTATCACGTGACCACACACGCAGAGCAGAACTGCTCCATGGGGTCTGTAAGGCTGAGCCCTCAGCAGCAGACCGCCAGGCCTTTCTGTGATGCTTCTGGGGAGGCCTGAACCACTCATCTTCCAGTTAGGAGCAGACTGCTTAACTGCCGGCCCCACCCAGAGACTCCTACTATTAGCTTCTAAAAACGGAAAATGACTACAAATACCCAGAAACCTGAAAGTTCAAAGTGGAAACATGTAAAAAGGTTTTACAACAAAGACATGTTTCTCTCCCATGTCTCAATACAGGCTGAAGAGAACGGTGAGCTTCTTGTCTTCCTACCAACAAGGATGAGGAGGGGCCGGGCAGGCGAGCAGTGGAGGCCGGGGAGCAGAGTGCGGGCCAGGCGGCAGGTGTGGCTGCCCAATGCCGTCCACTCATCCCCTCTCCGTGCCACGCCACACCTGTACAGGTATTCCACACACCACACAGCACTCCACGCACAGAGGCAGCGGAGCACCTGGGACCCAGAGGGGACCGTCATCCCTGAGTCCTGGAGACCGGAGCCCCACCGACAGTCTCCACACCTTGTCACACCAGCAGACTCAGCCACGTATCTGGGAAGTTCACACTGAGAGGACTCAGAAGTCAAGGGTTCTGAGGGGAAGATACCACATCATTACGGGACTGCTCCTCAGTACCTTGCGCATGAATACGGTCTGGGTTGCAGTTTAGGGAGATGTTCTAGAGAAAAATAAAAATAAACAAGTATTAATCACCACCATTGAAAACACGTTCCCTCTCAGTAAGTAATACTCAGTAAGTACTAATCACCACCATCTCTCTCAGGGTAAAAAATACAAGGCCAAAATTTGATTCTTTTTCTCTTGTTCAGCACATTTACATACAACATGTGTTTTAGTTTTGAAATTTTATGTGTATTTTACACATAAGACCACTGTGATGAATATTAAACAAAAATAAAACTATCATCTCCAATTCCAGTGCAGTAACTACCTAAAATTAAGAGCCAGACACTACCTTTCCTATTACTGAAATCAGTATTTCTACCCAAACACTGATCTCTTAAATCAAAGGATTCTGAGAACAGTGCCTTGAGCAGGTGTTGGTACCAATGAGACCATTAAACATTAAACATATACTCGTGCCTGTACTTTTCTGGGGAGGGGCATCAGCATTTTCAGATCTGAAATGCTCAGATGTGAAGTTTGACCCCAAAAAGACTGAAGACAAGTATCATAAGGGTTATGATAAATCCTTGGGCTTCTAATACTGCCCTCCATATATACACATAAATACATCAACAAATAACAAGATCGTTATGTAGTGGTGGTGCTGGGTACCATCACGTCAACTGCCACTCACAGCGACAATGGATGACACAGTAAAACTGCCCACAGGGTTTGTGGGCTGTACCCTGTAGGGGCACTATCACCACGTCTTTTCTCCTGCGGAGCAGCTAGTGTGTTCAAACCATGGACCAACCGGTTAGAAGCCAAGTATTTCACCACTGTGCAACTAGCTCCACAGATGCGATAGAGGGTATTTCTGACCCAAATTATTCCGAAACCCAGTGACTGAAATATACATAGGTGCACCTCTAAAAGGTTAAAGGATCAATATTTGAGTACGAAATTGTTCGCCAACAAACTTTCCATGGTTTGTGTTCAAGGTTATATTTTTAAGTTATTTAAACTGAAGTCTGAACAAACTTTTCTAAGTGGCTGAGTTTTAATAACTATTGAAATGAAGTAGCAGAGGGCTCAAATCAGTATGAAGTTTTAGATAATTTTCCCTTAAAGAAACTGGAAAATAATTTTAGT